CAGTTTTAATTTTATAGGTATTTTATCAATGGCTAATGCTGGTCCAAATACCAATGGTAGTCAATTTTTCATCACTACAGTCAAGACTACATGGTTAGATGGTAAACATGTTGTTTTTGGATCTGTTACCGAAGGTATGGATGTGGTGAAAAAATTAGAGAGTTATGGAACTGATACTGGAGAGACCAAAAAGAAAATTGTTGTCGCTAATTGTGGAGAAATTTAAGGCTTTTTTACTCTTATTCTGTTATTAACATTTTAATTTAAAAATATGCTGAATTGTATGTTAACTTTATTCAGGAATTACAAACATTCCATCTTTTTTATTATTTTATAATTAATTTTCTCCTATTTTTATTTTAATCTTATGTATGGATATCTTGAATTGTTTAGAAAATTATAACAAGCTGATGATAATTTTTAGATGAAGAAAAAAACCATTAACAGTTATTAACTAGTTCTCTTTGATATGTTTTTCATCTAGTGTTACAACAGTGGCTAAAAAAAGAATAATAAATAGCGATTAAAAAAAACTTATGTTGAATTATTTTATTTCTTAATTAAATAAACTATGAAATCCAACTACATCAATTATTTAAATGTAAGTATCCTGATGAGTAATAAATTAAAATAAAATAAAATAAATTATTTAACTAGCTTTTAATTGTCAGAATTATTTATTAATAATTTTAATTTACATGTATTATATATTATGTTGTATATATGATCAATGAAAATAGTAATTAGTTGGTTGTAATATAATTTATACTTGAAACTTACATAAAGTTGAAAAAYTGAGTATATGCTAAGCCATCAAAGTTAAAAACAAGTAAGATAAATTATAAATATGTTTTTGCAATTTTTTATCAATATTTGATGAAGTAACATACATTTTATTTAAATATTATGTAAAAATATCTGCTGATTTGTTCTCTAAATTTTTTTAATAAAGTATTTTAGTACAGGGAATCAATTTAAGTAAAGTCATGGAGTAGTAAACTAGCAAGCATTGGAATAATGTCTTAAATTCAATTAWAAGCAGATTAATTAAGCCTGGGAGCAGATAGCAATTGCTACCTCTAATAACTCTATATGGATATAGTTCAGATCAATAAATCAAATTMTTTAAAGATTACAAATAAMATTATACATAATGCTGTATAGTAGGTTTCAAAACATTGAATGCATATAAAATTAAAAATATGCATGTATATTTCATATTTGAGYGTTGTGGTGTATATCACATGCAATATTTATGTTATGTGTATTGCATGATGTGGTGTACAATATTATTTGATATATACTCCATTAGTAATTAGTAAGTCTATATTATGATGTTCGATGAGATATATTTTATTTATTATTAAACTCATTTTTATCAATTAGGATATCATAAAAATATGTTTATTGTTGACTTTTTCGCAGTGTGATACAAACTGAAATTTTTTTTTAGAAATTTTAGGTCAACTATGATAGTTTAAAAATAAAACTGATATTTATTTTAAGATTTTAACTGTTTATGTATAACATTATTTTGATTTAAAATTATCCAAATCACACAATATTGATAAGTGAATAAGTCTATGAATACAATGTTAATACATTTCATCTGGATAATTAATAGCCAATAGATCAATTTAACTTAACTGAAATTTATTATTTNTTTTTTCTATTTACTTGACATTGCTAGGTAAGTAGGGACGCTGTCTTAAATTCCTAACTGGTCATTCTTACCATACGAATATACGATGTGCTTAAACATTCTGTTAAATACGCTGTTTTACATAAGCAATAGGCATGATGAAATTTGATTGGGAGGGAGGGGCTTTAGCCTAAAATGTTTCAGCCTTTCGGGTATAATATAATATACATATAATATAACATATATATTCCTAACTTAAAACTATATGATTTTCAAATGAAAACTAAATAAGTAGAAGGGTATTGGGGAATGTAGTCCATCCGGAACAATTAATAAGGAAAAAATATGAGGGCCACAGTATATCAGTAATTTTGCCGCAGTTTACAGTTACTTGCCTACTTATTGTTTTAAACTTAAATAGCGAACTGCGAACGTAACTACTAAAATAATAGTTATAGCTAYCAGGTATAGCATATTATAAATACTAAGGTATTATTACAAATTAAACATAATAATTTTCTTTTCTTGCTTTAAGGCTAGAGAATTCATCGATGATTTCGTCATATGAAATTTGTCTAGAAAATCCATGTTCTATGGATAAAAGTTMCATGCTTGTGAGTCTCTCTTGTCCAATAGTTGATCTATTTGCGCCCCTGGCGTAGGCACAGTTCGCCATACCCTTGCTACGCCACTGATTACAATTTACTATTTATATCGGCAATGCTTATGTTTCATAGTAGCAATATTTGTCGTTGAGCCAGAAAAGCAGTATTTAGTACCTAAATGTATATACCATATACGCATGATCGTGAATTCCGGACAAAAAAATTGGAGCACTGGTATTCTGGTATMGAATCAAGATCGAGGGTAAATACTATTAAATTTAATACGATGAATGGATGAGAGATGAGATTGATCATAACTTGGTTATAAATATAATATATACTGTCTTGTGTTGGATACATATACTTACAAGTTACAAGAACCAAGTGGCAAGTAATGAAGTAAATAAGTAATCACTATAATCGCCTAATTGCYGGCTTTGGAAGTGGAATAATCGATGGCTGATGAAGTGATGACGACATTGAATGTTTAAAAATATTACCGTCTATTATCGTCTTATCGACATACGCAAACGCGGTGACCCCGGAGCGGCGCGCTGGCCTGAAATCCAGACGATTTACGAACATACATTACGACAATGATTCCCAACGTGGGCGCTACCGCCCCCTTG